CAATGTTCAAGAAATGCTAAAACTTGTCAAAATAGCAAAATGCTTTCCTTTCTGCATATCTTTTTTTTTTTTTGAAACAGATTTTTGTGGGACCAGCAGATGGCATAATGGTTATGTTACTGAACTCCCATGCAGTTGACCATGGTTCAAGCCCCAGACCCAGGTGGCTTAAACTCATGCCGGCGCCTGTGAGTGCATGCATACCCAAGATTCAGGAAGAATGGAGCAGGGACTGAAGCGTGGCAATTTCCCCTGTGGGGTGATTTCTCACCTTCTCTCTGTATCTGTCTTTCTCGTGAGTGCACACACCCTATAGCAAAAACCTCTTAAAAAAAAAAAAAGACAGAGTGTGATTTTTGCTATAGAGTGTAAATGCTTGCCAGAGACACAAAGACAGACAGAAAGCAAGAAATCACCCCCTCGGGGGGATGGCCCCACCACAATCCCTTCTCCTCCATTCTCTCTCAAGATTTTGGGCATGTACACACAAACGCCTGGCATGAGTTTTTTAAGCTGCCACATCCAGCACTCGAACCACAGTGGAATATGTGGGAGTCCAGAAACATAACCATTATGCCATCTGCTGGTCCCTGCATATAAGAGATACTACAAACTAATAAAACTAAAGGATTGGTTTTTCAGAATCAAAAGATGAAACACTAGACACTACAGTAGCTTTCTGCCCTGCTACAGAAACCCTCACCATTTCCCCTCTCTTCCTTTTTTCTCCTTAAGACGATTTCTGTCAAAAAAAGGATTACCTCCCTATTGACTGTAAGTTTTCTTTTAAGAAAAATCTAGCCTGAGAATTTCACTTGAGGTTAGTAAAATTTTGCTCACCAAGATCTAAATTCCTAGTCTTTAATAGACCTTGTATATTTTGACCAACAAAAATACCTGGAAATCTACTGATGCAAATTAAATGATATAAAATTTTTGTGGTCAGGCACCAGCAGGTGGCATTGACGTTAAGGCAGCTAGTTAGACCCCACGTGGCCAACTACATGGTTCACGTCTTAGACCTAGCAGCTTGAAAATCATGCCAGTTGGGTTCTGTGCATGATCAAAAGGAAGAGATTGGAGAAGGGACTGCGATTTGGTCATCCCCCTGGGGGGTGATTTCTTCCCCCTAGCTCTCTCTGGTGAGCACATGCATCCTATAGCAAAAACTAAAAAAATAAACAAATCCTGTGGTCACGCACCATCCAACCATGTTCACACAATGGGAAAAACTGGTATGAACTGTTATTGACTAAACAAGTTAAAACAGTCGTATTGAAGGAATATACTTCTCTACCTTGGTTAACATATGCACATTAACACGTTAGTTCTTTCCAGCAGGTGAAATACAGGAAAAGGAAGTCTTTACTAGATCCTTTCAAATTATGAGCAGTCGACACTCTGTTAAGAACCTGATTTCCTATGACCAAATGTCACAAAAGTAGATATTGTACACAATTTCAACTTATTTGAATAATGGAGCACAATTCTGGATAAAGACCCTTTTCTTTTTCCAAAATGATACTTTTAATCCATTTAACAACAAAACCATGACGATATCACTAGTGGTTTCTAACTTCATCTTTCAGATAGAACAAAAACTGGACAGGAATGAC